ATACGTCTTAAATTATTAAAAAATAAATAATAAATTTTTTAATATTAAAAGTTATTTTTTATTTAATAATTTAATTTTACAGTTAAATATTATTTAAATAGCAAAATAAAAGACTTTTAAGCAGTGGAAGGTATTCGTTTGTGATCCTTTGCACCAGTGGCTCATAATCGCTAAGAGCTTACGTGTCACCAGGGTTGTTATCATCATCACATCCATGGCTGACTTTTTATTACAACAGACAAACACTGGCAACCAACAATTAAAGATTAGTATAATCTGAGATTTGAACCTTTTTGTTTTGTTTAATTCCTGATGTAACACTAGGAGACCAAATACAACCCAACCCAACCCAACCCACTCGCTCTCAGCTTTGACAAGGCATTTAGACATGCAATTGGTCTTCTCCTCAGCCCTTTTTATTTTTCATTTTTTTATTTTTTATGGTTAGAGTATTCTAGATTTGGGTTTTGTATATCTTGAAATAAATTTTTTTTAAATGATTTTAAAGATGTATCTTTTATATTGGTGTGATAGGTTTAAAAAATTAATTTTTTTAAATATTAATTTTAAAATTTGATAAATAAATTTGTCATATATTATAATAATTGTTTGTAATTGAATTCAACTCTAATATATATATATATATATATATATATATATTTACACATCTAAAAGAAAACTTTTCATTCTTTTCCTTTAATTTAACATGCAGTTAAATTCGAACCCAAAACCATACAAAAAGGTGGGATTTATATAAAAAATGAAAATGGAACGTAAAGAAAAGGAATTACAAGAGTATGCTCATGGAGATTTCACAAGAAGATTGGAAACATTGGACCATTTATCACAATCAATTACAAAAATTAAACAAAAGAATGAGAGAATTAACTTTTACAAGAATTTGTATGTTTTCACACAAAAGTATATGAAGAAATCCCTCTTAAAATTTCTGACTCAAATATTCTTTATTCATTTAGTTATTGATATCATGTATCTTTGCAAGAAGCTGCTCTATCTACCACGAAATGGGAGATGATGGCAATGGCGACGTCATGCTGCAAAACAAGAACGAACAAAAATGTCACTTAATCAACAAGGATGAAGAAGAATTACGAAAACAAAACAAATTAAGCAGACAGAAGCAAAGGACATACGCTAGGATGTCTTTCCAGTAGGAGGCACTGGCTTCATCATCCATAAGCTTATCCCATGTCTTGAAGATTGATGAATTATTGGTGTTGGCCTCTGTTTCCACCTGGTTATTATCAATACCAGAAGTTTCAGGAGATCCTGAAACCAATGCAGGAAGTGAATTTCCTGTTTCAAAATCGAAGTATCCACTCAAGCCTTTATCATGCACATCAAGACTAGCCCATGAATTTTCAAAGCCTTGGGATTCATTTAATGGGGGAAGAGGAGTTGGCCCTGGGGTACTGATTATCCCATTGCCTAGTCCTTCAAATTGGTAATGATTTTGAGACCCCAATAAAGCAGCAGCAGGAGTGCTCTCAGTATAGGGAAGAAGTACAGTGTTTGAGTTGATAACTTGCAGAAGAAGTTTTAGTTTGGCTAGTTGAACAGCATGATCTGCCTGTAATTTGAGGGCAGTGTCCCAGGAATTTAAATTGAGCGAGTTCCCAATTTGTGGAGCACAAAGAAGCTGAGAAAAGGTTAAAAGATGATTGAGATCGGTTCTTGGCTTGTGGGTGTTAGGGTCAATTCCCATTTGAAGAAGCTTCTTCCTAATGTGGGTGTTCCAGAAATTCTTGATCTCATTATCTGTCCTCCCTGGAAGATGAGCAGAAATCCTCGACCACCTGCAAAGGAAGGGAAGATGTTAGACCACGCTCTGATGATACCAATATTTGTCATGACTCTAGCCTCACAAGATACCAAGCACTAGAAATTCAAGATAGGGTGAATATATACCTGTTTCCAAGAACGGAGTGAAGATTAATGATGAGTCTTTCTTCATCTTCAGAGAATTTGCCTCTCTTGATATCAGGCCTCAGATAATTAGTCCACCTGAGTCTGCAGCTCTTCCCACATCTGTTCAAGCAGGCCAGTTTGGGGAGAGATTTCCAGCTTCCAATACCATTTTTGTTGATGTAATCCACCAGCTTCTGATCCTCCTCCGGGGTCCATGGCCCCTTTTTCAGGTTGCTATCATCGCAGCATGGAGACCTGCCCATTGGTTTAAAGTTTTGGTAGAACAAATGACAATTACTTTAGATTAAGGTAGGAAGTTGTTATGTTGGTGGAGGGGGACGCTGTGCATTTTATAGGTGCATGGGAGGGATTGGATTCAAACAATGATGTCATTGTCAATTTTGGGTTTGTATTATGATATTCTGAGCCTCCAGAAGAAAGAAAAATTCCATCTTGCCATTTTGTCAGTGGAAGAAACCATGGGAATTAAAAATGTGGATTAGTTAATGTCAACCTGGGATCATGGGATGGGATAAATCTAGTTGAATTTTTATAATGCAAGTGTCATCCCAACTTATTTCAGTCTATCTTATTTCAGATGGACATATAATTCACTAGATGATGCATAATCAGTTGCGGATAAAATTCATTAATTTCTCGGACCTTCATTTACCTTAACTTTTTACTCCTAGTTTTTGGTATGATTAGTTAAATTTTGTCTTGCTTAAGGATGAAGTTAAGGAACTTTAACTCAAGGTAAACAAGTGGTTATCTTTGTTGACCACGTTTTGCATTATGTGTAAGTCCGCCTGTGATCAAATTTACCATCAAATCATACTGCCCTCAATTTTGGATGTATTAGTAAATAAAATGTCATCATATAGGTTAAATTTAAGATTTGAATCTTAAGTTACTATCTAAAAAAATTAATTCATTAAATATATAAGAGATGCACCTGATGAATGATTTGAAAAAAATAAGTAAATCTTAAAATATGTAAAAACTAATTTAAGAATATATTATCTAAAAGTACCAAATAAATAAGTAAATCATACTGCGCTCATGAATGAATCAACAATTTTGTCACCTTGTTGCAAATTGAGTTGTGGGTATGAATCTTTAGTCTCTCTAGATTTTGCATTCACATGCATAGCAATTCCAAACTCTTAAGTCTCTAACTGCTCTTGTCAGTATATAATTGGTTTGATCACCAAAACCGATTCTCCTGTTCCCTCTCCCTTCTATTTCTACACGTGTTTTACCGCAGGCTCTGAATTAATTTTCATTACATGCTTAACCAATAACAATGCATCCAAATGTCCAACAATATTAAATAAAGGGTAAGGTCAAATAGAATAACAGTACTGTTCATCATTTGTTTGACCGTAATTTCTACAGAAATGGTTTCAGCCATTACGTTTTTGTACCGAGGTTAATTACTTATTAGTGACTGCCTAGGGATTAACTTGTAAAAATTTAATTTATAATAGCAATTAAACCAAACTTTTACCTACCACCTAAGACCCACAGAAAAAAATAAACCACCAATGTGGAAGTGGTGTCTTGAATCACTGGTTAAGGAAAAGATTAAAAATGCAGCATTATTTGTTTTATGTGTAAAATATATAGAGAATTCATTCAAAAATCTACTCGTTTAAGTATTTTTGAACCAAACATATCCCTTTCCTTGTACAACATTCTTGGCTAATAATGTTAAGTGGGAACAAAATATTCACATCAATTAATTAGGAAGAAAATTTTTAGACTTAAAAATAATCTGTTTTACTTCACTTATACTATATTTGATTTAAGGATATTTGATTTAAGGAAAATGGAAAGAAGAAAATGAAAGAGGAGGGAAGGAGAATAGAAGGACATGACATCCTTTCATTTTCCTCCCTTCTTCTTTTCTCATTTGGATAAACTTCCCTTATTTTCAAATTTTTTGCTAACCAAATAGAATAATTTTCATGTTTTCTCTTTTTTCATTTCTCTTTTCTTAAACCAAATATACTATTACTATTAGTTGATAAATATGAATATAAAGGAAAAGAGGGGATTGCATGCATTATTGGGCCAAATATAAGAAATAGATCTAGTTATTTTGATCAAAACCTAGATATCTCATTATGATTTAACATATGCTTTCTTTCTTTTCTTTTTTTTCTTTTTTTGGTAATATAGATCAAAAGTGGACAAATGTGTCAAGTAATAATAAGAACACAGCTCAATATTTTGTTTGACATTTCTATTTCGGAAGTCTTTAATTCACATACACATCATAAGATCTGCCAGGGTCAATAGGCAGTAGGATCTGTTGGGAGCCATTTCAACCTTCCTGACCTCATTTCCACCTTCCTGACCTCATTTCCCTTCATTGACAAGCATGTTAGATGAAGAAAAGTGGTAGTTAAATTTACAAAAACCCATTAATATAATATTATAACAAGATTTTGGGATGGACTATTGTTACTTATCAAACTTGGTTTCCTTAGATGGGGGGACTTTGGACTCTCCATGGTTAAACGACAAGAAGAAAAAAACAGTCCACTGTCAACTAGAACAACAAAAAAAAGATGAAACAAAGGTCCATATATACATGCTTTCTTCTTTTGAAAAGAAGAACTAGAAGGTGGGGAAGAATCCTATTTTGTACAATGAAATTTCCTTGATGCTCACTGTTGCATGGAAGAGGGTGTTTCGTATGCTAATTAATTGGAATTTTGTGGTTTGTCACTAACGGTGTTGTTAATGGTATAGATAATAGATAAAAACAGGATTTTTTTTTCTTCTTCTTCTTTTGTCATGTTTGAAATTTACTGAGGTACAACTTGTCAATATTACATCATTGAGTTTTATCGGATACTCAGGTAATTAAGAACTTGTCAATCATCTTAGTTGATTAGAAATTTTTAGATTTTGATATGCACATTAATATTTAAAAATCTCATACTTCCTCATTCTCAGAATAATAGATATTTTTTATTTTAAAATTTTTTTCAGAATAATAATATTTTTTTTCATATTTTAAAGAAGACAATTTTTTCCTATTTAACCTAATAATTATATCTCTGTTTAAATTATCCATCCCCTTATGAAAAAATCTCTCTATTTTTATTTACTTTTTTAAGGATAAAATACAAAAAGATAAAAATTATTTTTAAATCTTTACAGTATATTTGGATTAAGAGGGATGAAAAGAAGGTGAGGAGAAAACTTTTCTTTACTTGATTTTTTATTTTAATTTAGTTACTTATCAAAATTGGAGAGAAGGAAGGAAGGAAGGAAAATCAAAAGATATAATTCGCATCCTCTCCTCTCCCCCATCCCGTCCCTTCCCTTCCTTTCCCTTCCTTTCCCTTCCCCTCAACCTAAATATAAGATTAATCCCAACATAAAAGTGAAAGATGTCTATTATTTTGAGAATTAAGGAATAACAATTACATAATATCAAACAACAAAACTAAAAGAATAAATAAAATATTGAGCGGGGCTGCAGATTGGGCCAACTAAGAACCTGAGGGATTTGAGGGACACAAACGAAAGACCCAAAATATTAATATAATGGGGCCTAAAATCGGGTGGGCTGGATAGGGAAGATTGCCCTGCTCCCACTAGCGGGCTGGCCAGTATCGTCACTAGCCCAACAAAAGCTCCCACCCAGGACTAGGAGATGGAGAGGCATTTACTAGGCTGTTACGTAAATGTCTACCATGAAAAAACTTGCTTTTAGTTTTTTACCTTATCAAATTTAAAAATTTTAACATATTACTTTATATTATTATATTTTTAATCTCTTAATTTATTAGATTTGTAAGTTTTAACTCATTACCTTATACTATAATACTTTTAGCCCCTCACATATTAAAATTGAAGAAAATATTTCTTACTTTGTAACATTTTTGTTAGTTCTATTAGCTGACTATTAGTTAACTGTTAACTAACAAAAACCTTTCTTTAGCTAATAAAGTTAATAGAACTAATTTTATAATATTTTGTTAATTCCATTAACTAACTATTAGTTGACTATTACTTGGCAAAAATTTACTTTTAGTTAGCAGAGGTAATAGCCAGTATAAAATGAGAGCTATTTTATTCGATTTTAATAAGTGAGGGATTAAAATCTACAAATTTAGTAAGGTAAAGGGTTAAAAGTGTCATAATATAAGGTAAGGGGTTAAAACTTTTCAACTTGGTAGGGTGAGGGGTTCAAAGTAGATTTTTACCATCTAAATGTTTACAATTGTAAGGTTCAATTCACTTCTAAATAGCTTTCAGATCTAATGATTTATCTCCAAATTTTAAGTGCTTAAGTGTAGTTGATTGAGAATTCAACTTTCACCAATGACTTAAAAACTAAATCCCTCGTCCCTCAAATTCCCTTATTTTCAAAAAAAAAAAAATTCACTCTTAAGTAATTAAATAAATAAAATTTATTTAGGATATATTTGATTTGAAAAAAAAATAAATAATAAAAACTTTTTATTTAATCAAATTATAAAGTTGAGTTAAAATCTTGATTTAATTTAATAAAATTTTTTCTCTAACTAAACATACTTTTAAACTTACTATGACTAAAGTTTTGGACTTCTAAATGTCCTTACATACATATTTACCATATTAGATGGATGGGAATTATCTAAGGAGAGATTGAAGGTGAAAATAGCAACAAAAAGATGGAAGTAGAAACCCAAATAGGAAATGAAAATTTTATTTTACGCTCATCATCCACCAATATGATTATATTATTCATATATTGAAAAAAAAAATATTCCAATTTACATAATACCAAAGCAGAAGAGTTAAAAATACCAACTATACTTCTAAAACAACACAAATAATCCTACTTTACTGTCTATCTTATGTAAACTATAAAATAATTAACCATTAATAAAAAGATAAGTTCTTATTATCATCAGGTAGTAAACCCCCTCCATTAATAATTAAATTCACAAAGTGGGAATTTCACTAATCTAATTAATCATTGCCCTGTTGCTGTTGCTGGAGATTGATTAATTTATAGTAGGCGCCCTCTTTGTTCTCTATCAGACTGAAATGGCTCCCCTGTTCTATTATTTTTCCATCCTGTATGACCGATATTTGATCGGCATTCTTTATCGTCGACAGTCGATGCGCCACCATAACCGTCGTCCGGTTCCTCATCAACCGGTCCAGGGCTTGCTGCACCACCCTTTCCGACTCCATATCCAGGGCGCTTGTGGCTTCGTCTAAGAGTAAGATTTCTGGGTTCTTCAGAACAGCCCGAGCAATGGCGACTCTCTGCTTCTGCCCGCCGGATAGCTGCACCCCTCGTTCTCCGACTTTGGTTGAGTAGCCTTCCGGAAGGGAGCTTATGAAACTGTGTGCGTTGGCTAATTTGGCTGCTTCGATTACTTCCGATTCCGATGCCCCTTCTTTACCGTATAGAATGTTCTCGTAAATTGAGGTGGCGAACAGAGCCGGTTCTTGTTGGACTAATCCGATGTGCTTCCGGAGAGATTTGAGCTTCAATTTCTTGATGTCTATGCCTGTAATGTAGAAATAGAGTAGATTTCCTTATGCCGATTTGATATTGTTAATTAGAAGGTAGAAGTTTTATGGATTTTTCTCTGAAAATGTTTACCGTCGATCATCACTTTTCCGGCTGTCGGATCGTAGAAACGAAGAATCAGTGCAAGGACAGAGCTTTTTCCCGACCCACTTTGCCCCACCAACGCCATACTCTTGCCTGTACGGACTCTCAGAGCAAAGTCCTTGAAAATCTCTACATCGGGTCTCGACGGGTAGCTAAATTGGACACCTTTGAGTTCAATCGTCCCCTCCACATTACTCAGCTCTTCTCCGGTGTCGCCCACAATCTGTGACTTCCGATCCAAGACCTCAAACACCGATGCCACCATTTGGTTCCCTTTTAACAGATCCGGCGCCATCGCTAGAGTTTCACCCATGGCTAAAGCCGTTACTATCAAAACCATGAATGATTTCATCACGGACTTGAAGCTGGCCAGCTCCTTCCCCATTAAAACCGAGCCGTACCATAATGCAAGGCCATAAGATGAGAAGATGAAGAACTGGGAAATTCCGTAGAAAATTCCGGCAATCTGACCCCGGTTGAACGAGCGCCGTGAAGGCTCAACAAGCTCCTGTGCATAAAGGTCTAGGACTTTCTCTTCAGAGCAGAACGCAGCAACAGTTCGAATGTTGCTGACTGCTTCTGCGGCAAGCATGTTGGCTTTTAGATATGCCTTGCTCAAGTTGCCTCCATACCCTTGCATAAACAGTTTCTAAAAAAACAAAAAAGTAGTCAAAATCACAATAAATCTGAAAAAAAATAGAGTTGGAAGTCTCAGATTCGAAACATGTGTTATCTTATTTAAGGAGTGCAAACCTCACTAATGTGACCGCTTATGATCAATGGATAAGTTGCCAAGACGATAAGTGTGACTCTCCAGTTTAAGATGAATGAAATGATAAAAGAGGCAACGACAAGACCCACATTCTGTATCAGAATTGTTGATCGATCTACAACTATGGTTCGCAACAGAGTTGCATCGCCCTCTAGACGCGACGCGAGCATGGAACTTGTGTTGTTCATGTCATCAAACCATCCAATTTCGTTCTTCAGAATGGCTGCATTATTTAGCAATGGTGATTGGTTTAACAAACTGAGAATTAAAGCTGAAGTAGTTACTGTAAAGAGGGAAAACTTACCGGAAAACATCATCTGGCGCACACGAAGAGTGAGTCTCTCTCCCATAATTCCGAAGCAGAGATGCTCAATGGCATGAACGAGGACAGTAATGCATGCAGCACAACAAAACAGGATGCAGATCTTCTTAACTTCATGGCGAGTTATGTCCCAGCCCATGTAATAGGACACTAGAGCTTGAGAAACTCCAAGAGCAAACAGGGGCATCTGAGCTCCGGCAATGAGTGCACCAATTGTGCCCAATACCCCATAAATCCAGTCAGGTTTTACCATGGAGTACAATCTTCCTGGGGAGATGTACTTGGAATTTGCAGGATCCATTGCATCACCAGCAACACGGCTGAATATTGAATCCTTATCAGAACGGAAACTAGCACCGAAACTGGTTCTTGTCCTCGACGTTGTCCGGGACAATTCCCTTGAGAACCTTATACTGCAAGCAAAAGAAATGTATATGTCAATAATATATCTTCTTCTTCTTTTTTTCTTGACGAGCAATTTCATTGGAAATTCTCCGTTACCTTTGTGGCCTACTCAAGCTAGGTCCCTGAGAGGGAAACCGTTGCAAAGAATTTGCCTCTTGAAGCTGAACTAGAGAAGAATAGGCACTGTTAGGATTGGAAATCAGCTCCTCATGGCTGCCTGTTTCCACTATCTTTCCATCCTGAACAACAGCTATCACATCAGCATTCCTTACGGTGGAAAGGCGGTGGGCCACCACGACTGTGGTTCGTCCAACCATGACACGATCTAGTGCCTCTTGCACACTCTTCTCCGACTCAGCATCCAGTGCACTTGTTGCTTCATCAAGTAAAAGAATTGATGGATTCTTCACTATTGCTCTAGATATAGCAATTCTCTGCTTCTGTCCACCTGATAGCTGTATTCCTCTCTCACCAACCTGAAATTCACAGCAAAAAGTAATCCTCAGATTTCTATTACAAATTTCTTTATTTAATTGTTACATCTACACAAAATCCTAATTGAACATAACACTGTTTTTTATTGCTCAGATGGTATTTTAGTTTAGTTTATGTAGTCTAGACTAAAGGTCCACAAAAAGGATTTTGCAGATACAACAATCCCTTTTGTGAAAAAATGTTTTACCTGAGTTTCAAATCTATCAGGGAGATTGCTAATGAAGGATATGGCTTCTGAGAGTTTTGCAGCGCGTGTGATCTCATCAAGACTGCCATCCTCCTTTCCATAGAGGATGTTCTCCTTAATGGTTGTTGCAAAGAGGGCTGGCTCCTGGTTGACCAACCCAATTTGCTGCCTGAGCCACTTGAGGTCAAGGTTCTTAATGTCAATTCCATCCAATAGGATCTCCCCAGAAAGTGGCTCGTAAAATCTTTCAATCAAAGATATTACAGTGCTCTTCCCAGAGCCACTTCCCCCAACAAGAGCTACAATCTGTCCTGCAGGAATGTCAAGGCAGAACTTATTGAATATAACTACTTCTGGGCGAGAGGGGTAGCTGAAAGTGACATCCTTGAATTCAATGTGACCCTCCAATTTTCCCAGCTTGTAACCTATTTTAGGGCTGGTTTTGCTGGCTGTTTTCCTCTCTATCATCTCAAATATGGGATAGGCAGCTGCCTTTGCCCGGATAAATGCAGAAATGTCCGGTGCAGCCTGCCCTAATGCCCTGCAGAACAATAAAATTAAGCATACCGTGTCCTAAATGTCCTGTTAAGTAATATTTATAGTAAATATGTTCAGAAAAGCAGAGACTTACAGGCCAGAGATGACAACATTAAGCATGGTAGTGAAGGATTCCCCACCATTTGCAATACGTTTATGAACAATTATGCTGGTGAACCAAACAAGCAATGACCAAGACAGGAAAAGCACACAGTGCATAGAGCCAAGTCCAAGACCCTTCGTTAAGCCAGCTCTTCTCCCATACTTGTATGTACTCATTAGAGCTTCTGTGTATGATCTAACTGCTTTTTCTTCTCCAGCAAATGCTTGGACTGTTCTAACATTTCCAATCACCTAAAATTTACAGTACACTTTTTACTAACATGACATGAATTACCCTTTTGTCAAACAGATTATGGGAAATTAACTGACTGACCTCTTCAGCAATTTCACCAGCCTTGACATAGGATTTTCTCACTCTGGCAATAAGGCCAGTAGCAACATAGGCATAGAGGCCTCCAGCGAGGGCAATCAAGGGAACTATAGAGAGTGTCACCAGACTGATTTGCCATACCCTAACAAACCCAATTGTAAAACCTGCTAGAAATCTGCTTATGTAATGGATGAAATTCCCCACCTGCATTAAACACAGCCCAGATATAGAAGTTTAGCTTAATATCCAAATCTCATAAGAATTCACTTCAAGATACCCAATTAAGAATAAAATTCAGACAAAAAAAAGAGTAAAGAGATATTCCTATTAAATATTAATTACAAAATCTGTCAGTCATAAGAGGTGGTAGAAGTAGAACCAACCACCTTATAAATGCAATTCATTGATGAGATAAAAGATTAGTTGCAGAGGCATAAAAGCACTGCATATAATTCTCCTGGGAATTAGCTCCACTTACCCCTTCTTACTTAATGTTTCTTCTAATTAATTAACTAAGAAAACCAACCAAAGAAACGAATTACGGGAGCAAAACTTTCCCAGGAAACAACAGATACTATATCTTGTTATACATAATTAGTCAATAGGCAACTTATAACAGTTCCTGTAAATTAAAGAATTAACTAAAATTGGACAAGAAAATCAGAAACAAACACACCTTCTCAGAAAGAGCATCCTGAACAACAATAATGTCACTTGTAATGGCAGCAATGACTTCTCCGGTGGATGCTTCGGTGTCAAACAAACTTATGTCTTGATTTAGCATTGATCTTAAATACGCCATCCTCATTTTGGCCGCCTGCCTTTCCCCAGTATGCATCCAACAAGCTACCTCTGTAATTTAATTTTAATTACTAACACAAACTACGTATTTAGCATGCATAAATGAACAAAAAAAAAAAAAAAGAATTTGTACGTGAAAAATTAGTCCACATATTACTAATAAAACGCTGGAACAGAAGAAGAACTGAATTTTGTCCATACCTATCCAGGATGAAAATAAAATAGCCACACTGAGATATACAAAATCCAAAGCGTACTGCAAAAGGAGCATAGGAGAAACATGTTAATTAACGACAACTTGTTTTTTTTCCCAGTTAGAGGTATTAGACTCTTAAGTTCGAATCTTAAGATGGATAAGAATTTGGTGGGCTATATAAACTGTTGTATACTCATTCAGATGTGAGCAAATAAAAAAAAAAAATGGTGATGTTTGTACATATATATACCTTTGCAACTCTGTGAGAAGCTGCTTTGGGGAAAAGATAAGCCAATCCAATAATGTTTATCAACTTTCCGAAGAAAATGAAGAAAACAGGCACAGAAGCTCCATGCACAATGGCACCAATGGATCCTAAAACCATCAACACATAATCATAAAAATCAGCGAAGGAGAACAGTTTCAGCAATGGAACATTCTGTGGCGGTTTTTGCCCTTCTTTCTTCTTCCCCTCCTCCTTCTTCATATCATCATTATCTTGAGGAGGTGACATTTTGGCCACAAAATTGGCCAAGCAAAAACAGTTGGAGTATGAGAGTACGAGGAGAAGAGAACAAAGGGGTTTTGAAGTGAAGAAGAAGAAGAAGGAGGTGGGATGTGAGAAGGTTGGAGGGTGAGGAATAAATGAGCCCTAGCTGGTTTGTACACTTTGTTATGTGATAATCTTGTGAATGACAGATGTGCTAAGTACTATACTAAATACTACTGGGGTGACTCTCTTGAATATGACTACGATCATGGGCAGAAAAGACTTCCGAGTCTTCAACTGTATGCCTTTTCTCTTGAGATAATGAGGGTTTTGTTTTGAGATTTGTGAGTGAAGCTTAAGCTTCCATTTTGATGTGGATTCTTTCTCTCTCCAAAATAAATTGAGCACTGAGGTTGGTTGGATCTGCCGCCTCGCATGAAATGGGTGCCCACTTTTGTTTCCTTGTCATTATTATTTCAAAAAGAAGATGGGAAAAAAACCAAATGCCCTGTTTAACTGATTGACAGTGCTTTGAAAATTGGGTGCACAATACAACATGTAAAATGTCATTATATATATATGTAATGATTATTGGATCTAATCATCTTTCCCCCAAACGTTGTACAATTGCTTTATCAGCCTTCATCTATTAAATTAGTACTTTATTATCGGAACTTCAACATAGAATGTTAAAATGGGTATGAGTGAAAAAAATTTTATGTATTATGTAAGTTGATCCCGACTTATTGAAAGCACATACAAAACCAACCCAAAATGCCCTAAAATGTAACAGGTGAAAGTTGTTAGACCCTACGTATGCAGAATGGACCTGCACTTAAAACTGCAGGGAGAATGAAAAGGAAACATGCATGTCTTCCTTCCTTACGTCAGAAGGCACTTGTGTGATATATGTTTCCCAAAAGATAACGATAATTCTTCAAATTCAACTCTCCATTTACTTGCATTGTGACAAAAACAGAGGATTCCTCTACAATTTGTCAAAAATCTTCAAATTTACATGTTAGGAAAAGTTCAAAAACGTCAAAAACTCAGAACAGTAAAGGTTCCCTTAGTCTAAAAGCTACTGTTATAAAGCAATGTGGCGACATTCATGTGCCTTTCAAAATGACATGTTCAAACACTGTAACACGATTTTAGTGTGCCTTTTAGATCCATTTCAGTATTAGCATTGCCCCCCCACTTTGATGTATTATCAAAACAAACCCATCTGACTGCATTTAATTTACACTGTAGTTTGAAAATAATTTCCCTTGCTCCTCTTTCACTTGGTCCAGAATTGGGAGTTACGTTTTGAGAATGATTTTTCAAAGAAAGGAAACTCCAAAGTCAAAAAGGATATACCATAAGGAATCAAATTCTCTTTTTCTTCATAGTGTAATTGTTAAGCTAAACTAATTAGGAGGCGTATTCAATAAAAAAAGAAGCTATTAATAGAAAATATATATCCCGGATGGGAGTGTGGTTCAACCCATTCAACAAGTCTTCTCTTAACCATATTCTTCTGACTATGAGACACACTATTAATGGGATTTTAGTTTGTCTAGCGAGAGAGATGATAAAGACATCTTGTCGAGCTATCTCATTGAAAAACCAAAAAAAAATTATATGCGTGTAACTGGAAATTAACATTATAATTTGAGAAATTTTAAAGTACAAATAAAAAGAATTTAAAATTTTTTAAATTATTAATATCAAGAATTAAATTGTATAATACTTTTTCTATACTTAAATTATAAGATAATATCTATTTATTTATATATTTAGTTAGACTTACACTGTAAATATAAAATAGTTATATATTAAAAAAAAAAACTAAGAGTTAAGTAGATTATAAATGAGTGATGAATATTTACTAGAAATGAGTGAGATATTGAATTTATTTTTGAAATACATCTCAACAACATTATAAAAGTACGCATCCAGCCTTACAAATCATTTAATAAGCGTATTTAATATTTTTTTAATAATTAAGATTCAAATTATAATATTATTATGTTATAATTTTTTATCTTTTACTATCAAATTAAATTTGTTAAAGGGGTTTTTTAATTTATATTATTAAAATACAGGTTAAAATTTTAAAAAATAAAATAAAATATTTAATTTATTAATTATTTAATTAGATTTATCTAAATAATATTAATTTCAAAATTAATATTTATTTTTATATT